GAGAGAGAGAGAGAGAGAGAGAGAGAGAGAGAGAGAGAGAGAGAGAGAGAGAGAGAGAGAGAGAGAGAGAGAGAGAGAGAGAGAGAGATGAATCTTTCCATGTTCTAGCCGTGGATTCAGTCTCATTTTGCACATTGGGAGATTTCGCACGTTTGGAGAGTAGTGCAGAGAGGCCCAGAGAGGGAGGGGGAGGGGAGGGGGAGGCGGGAGAGAGAGAAAGAGTTCTGCAGTACAGTTTGAACGAGACCTGGCCCCACTCCTGCCACTTGATCAGGGGCTACCGGTAGGTCCCACTAGCGAAATGTGAATCTGGATAGGTTTTTCTTAGCAGAGATGCAGAAGACCAGCTCAATCAAGGTTTTCTGCATCTGTCCTCAAACACGTCAGGATTCAGGCGATGCCCCAGGGAGGACGAAACAACGTGAAAACGCGGCAAGAAGGCGCTCGCTCTCTGGCCACGTTTTTTAGCACTTTTTTTCTTTTCTTTTCTTTTTTTTCCAAAAACTATGGCATTGTATCTCTTTTTTTTTTTTTTTTTTTTTCTTCTCTCATGCATCTCATTTTTCTTGCTAGTACTCATCTATCTCATCTTCTCACTGGTCTATGTATAGTACGGGGGAACACCAACCAACCCGGATCTCTCCCCAGCCCACGGGGTAGGTTGGCACCACAGGGGCCTCATCCCACTAGCATCGAGTAAATCGGTGTGTGGCGTTCTTTTCTCATTTAAAAACGCATAAACAATCATTTTTATCATTTACATGAATGCAAAGAAAAGGACCTAAAAAATGAAAAATTACCTGGCCTGACATCGACATCATGACAGAACTTCAGTGCATCCACACTTCAACCAACCCGGTACGTCTGCATGTGACTTTCCCGGCGGCCTGTTCACAGTCTTCCATGGAAATCTCAATATTCTCAATTTTACCACATAAAAAAAGAAAACAACATGGATGCAAAAACGCCCCCCCCCCTCGGACCTCCCTAATATTGCAGCTTTGTGACGCCCAACCTCACGCCCGGCGCGACTTCCTGATCGGAGTGGGTTGTGGGCCTGGAAGTGCGAAAAGGGGTGTGCCAAGGATTTTTGGGAAAAGTGGGGGAGTCTTAAGGGTATGGTTGTAATTAGGCGAATAAGGGGTGCGTGCGCAAGGGACTCAGGTCAAAAGGGGCTGGGACATTGTGGGCGACGAGTTACGGGGAAATCCCTTCGTTGTGGAGGCGGTTCCGAAAAGTTAGGCCGTCGGGGGCCGCCACGTGGCGCAGGTCGCCGCGGACCTTGGTTGGGCCTTCGGAATTCCTGAGTTCTCTGCGCGCCGCTGCGTCGGCAATTTACGCAAAACGTGTTGGGCCAATAGGGGGCTATGGCCGGCCACGGAACGACGCTGAGTTGATGGTACGGGAGGAGAAGGCGAAAAGGAGGGAAACTGGTGGTGATGACGACAAACCCGGGTGGGTGAAGTAGTAGGTATGGTCGGGGGAAGGGAAATCAGAGCACCGGGGGTCGCTAGAGGTGGCGTAGTGAAATTCCCGTGGACATAGTCGATTCTTCGAGGGGCAGGGGTATCTCGTCCTAATGAGCTCGTTTATTATCGGGGTGAAGTAATCGGGTCGTAGGACGAGTTTGAGCTCCAAGATCGCGTCATGGTGTCATTGTGTAGGGGATAACTCTGGTTGGGGAATCGTCACCTCGCACGAGCACGTGTGGGACAGGCGAACTTAGTTGCGCCTCGGCGTGCTCATATGGGATGACGGTTCCGCCGCGAATCTTGTTTGGGTGGGCGAATCAACGCACGGTGATGCGTTTAAACGTGCGATTCGGATCGCGTCTTGCACGACGTTCGCGGGGCTCGACGTCGGATTGTCTAATTGCTCCGTAAGTTTGGTTATGCGAGAGGCAACCACACCACAACCCAATCGTGAGACAAGCAAAGACGATAACACAATCACTATCGGGGCCAAATTCCTATCCCATCTACAGTTGTATAAGGTGCAGGCGAAGTTTCGACACAACATAACCAAAAACAAAAATTCTCAGCAAAAAGATAGACAAGCAAGCATAGCATCCATACATCCATACATTCATACATTCAGTAATCATACAAGTAG